TTGAACTTTTCGAATTGAGGATTGGGAATCCTTTATATTTCTCCACTAAAGCTCATCATGTTAGAACTTTTACATCTCACTGCACAGGTCATGGTAGTCTGTCAACCTATTCCGTATGACTTGATCTTTCATTAGTTTCTTTTTTGTCATTTTCATATGTATCTAAAATTACGTAACATTAAGATACACATGATATGCTCCACGTATTTTAACATGTATCAAAGGTAAAGCACAACATGTAAACCTCAACATTTAAATACGTAAGTATCCATCATAGTTCATTAAGCAGTGCTATGATTTAAGTTAATTAAAAATATGATGAAATTTTCTTTGGACAAGTGATCATACAAAATGCATTGACATTTTTGATAACATGTTATTAGCACACCCAATATGAAGAAATTCTATACTTACTGGCATAACGGTTAAATAAATTTTTTAAGGATTTATAAATAATATGCCTATGAATGTTCACCTCTTTTATTAGAGATTATCTCCCAGCAATTGTAGGATCGTCCTCGAAATCAATTTCCTTATTTTTTCTCCCCGAAACGTTAATATTTCATAAACAATCTAATTTTTTTTTCTAATTTAGTTTAAATTTCTAAATTAATAACTCAATTTAATACAAAAATAACTTCAAAATTTGTTTTTTATCTCGAAAAGATTTCTCCTCGTTGAAGCCTCGAAGCCTATCCACTCTATTCCAAAATTCAACTTGCGAAAATTAAACCTCAAAGCCTATCCGCTCTATTCCAAATCCAACTTGCGAAAATTAAACGAAAATACAAATTTCTTAGCTAAATCCCTAGACTCCTTCCGCGTTCTTTCTTTCTTCTTCTCTTTCTCCTTCTCTTCTTCCTCTTCTTCTTTTTCTTAATCTCACGGACTATTCCTACGTGACCATTCACCTTCGTTCTCCAGTGAATACGGGAATGGAGAGATGAGAAATGCATGCCAAATATTAATGCTTAGGCTTATATAAGCAATAATATAAGTATTAGTTAACTTCCTTTTTAAAATCATCCCATATGTTCCTTTTAAAATCCTCGTTGCATGGCTTGTTTAGTGGGTGTGAAAAACATGCCATAGGACAGTAGTCCAATTAGCAGTAAATTAATGAATATTTTTCTTTAATACTTAGGGAAATTAATTAATTTAATACATAAATTTTATAAGAACTTATATATACTAATTTTTTATATGGACATCTATATATAAAAATGGTCATTACAAAATGTAGGATTTTATAGGGCTGTCAAAGAAGGGTGACGGGTCGGGTTCGAGTTCAACCCGAAATTGACCCGGGACTATTTGATCTGACCCGTTTTTACAAACAGGTCAATTTCTCAGACCCGAACCTATCCCACATATTTTTATCTTAAACATTTAGAAGCAAAACGATGGAGTTCGACCTCGCTGGAGGTGTGGAGATTGCATGAGTCGCTTCTTCGGCTCCTTCGTTGGAGTTTGACTTCGCTCCTTCGTTGGAGTTTGACTTCGCTCCTTCGACTTCCGATTCGGAAGTTACGACATTTTGATTGGAAGCAACGATGGGAGTTCGCTCGTTGTGAAGGTAACTTTCTCCTTTTCGTCGTTGTTGTTCAGCTTCGTTCCGCAGGAGCCAAGAGGTGTGAAGATTGCACGAGTCGCTTCTTTGGCTCCTTTGTTGCAGTTCGACTTTACTGGAGGTGTAAAGATTGCACGAGTCTCTTCTTCGTTTCCTTCGTTGCAGCTCGACTTCACTCCTTCGACTTCCGATTCGGAAGTTACAACATTTTGATCGGAAGCAACGATGGGAGGAGCTCGCTCGCTATGAAGATAACTTTTGTCATTGCTGTTCGGTTTCGTTCCGCAGGAGCCTGGAGGTGTGGAGATTGCACGAGTCGCTTCTTCGGCTCCTTCGTTGCAGTTCGACTTTGCTCCTTCTTGCTCCTTCGACAACATTATCAGAAGACAAAAATTATAACATTTTGATCGGAAGCAACGACAGGAGCTCGATTGCTGTAAAGTTCGATTAGATCAGAAGTTACAATATTTTGATCGGAAGCAATGAAATTCCCTCGCTGTGAAGCGTGGAAAAATCTCGTAAATACGTCGAACTACATGATTCCTTGTCAAAATGGTGTCATTTTCGGGTTTCCGGGTCAACCCGAACCCGACTCGGAATTCAAAACGGGTTGAAAATCAGGACTCGAATCCGAAATTTTCGTGTCAAATTCGAGTCGGGTTTTCGGGTCATGTCAAATATTGACACCCCTAAGATTTTATATAAAAACTTTGTTAATTTTGGTGAGTCTGAAACTGGGTATTATTTTGGATGGTAAATTTTTATTCTTACCTTTATTAAATTTTGGCATTACAAGTTATCCTTATCACCAACATTCAACAAACAATTGATTCAGTTTTGGGTTCTCAATTACCGAATCGTTCTCACTATAGGATTGAAACAAAGGACATGCTTACTTAAAAGAACAAGTTGGTCTTTGACGAAAGGATTTATACACAAAATTTCGAGTGCTTGAGTTGTTCCTGTTTTAATGATTCATATAAAGACAACTTAGGAGAATATGCGTCGATAGTAGATCTATCAACAAAATTATTCTTAGTATTGGTTCTCAATTTCTCGATTTGATAATATTTTAAATCAAATATTGGGATTCTTAATTTTCTCAAAGATTAATCTTAGAATCGTTACCACCAAATTTGGATTCATCGTGGAGATGAGTAAAAGATAGCTTTTAAGACACCTAATGGCCTGTTTGAATAGTTAATAATATCATTTGATCTTTTCAGTACGTCTATTACTTTTATAAGGATTATGAATGGTGCGAGCAAAAACTAGAGTAAAGAGACAAATTGGAGAACACCAGGACAAGACTTAAACCAAACTCGATTCAATTGTAACTTGCAAATATCCAAACAAACTTAGGAAAAACAAAAGCCAAATCGAACGAAAATAAAATAAAAATATAAAAACACTATCCTCAGTATAACCGTCTAGCTGTCTCCTCACATGCAACGAAAGTAGGAATTTAAGAAAATTGTGCTTAGGCTTGCAAACCAAGGGTTCACCACTACAAAAGAGTCCAACATCCTTTCCAAACTCCTCCGGCAAATGTCTCCAAATTTCAGCCAACATACACTTCCAAAGCTCAAGAAGAAGGATACAAGTGGAGTGGAACTTGCGTACAGAAGAATATGTTAGAAGCCAAGACGAAATAGAGAAGAGAAGAAGGGGACGGAACAAGCTCTCAAGCTTTTCCAAGAAGAAACCCTCAGGTTTTGGTAGAGTTTTTACTCACAATTTCAACAACCTTTTCCATACCAAAACATCTCATTTTTATAGGCAAAAGAGAGAAACCAAATAGCCATAACACCTCTAACCAAACCAATTAGATTTAGGGAAATGAAAGGCCAACAACGCAGCAGCCCCAACCCGGTACAGGAAATAGAGAAAAGAAGGCCACGGGAAACCCAACAGGCAGTCACGGGAAACCCAGCCAGCAATGGACCTGAGAAGTCAGCACAGAGAACGGAACAATAGCACGGGAAAACAGCCAGGGGCCACGGGAATAGCAAAAGCCAGGAGGAAATTGAAGAGACAGGGAGGAGAAGGGGCAAAGTCCATTCCAAAATGAATCCAAGACATAATAGCATACCTTTTTGAAATAATGAGCTAGGAAGTGCATTTAATTCCCAATCATTGAGCTAAACTTCAGCTCAAGCATTTATGAGCTAACCCTAAGTAGAATCCATCTTTTTTTTAACTCAACACCAAGCAACCAAGGCTCACCTGAGAGCAGCCACCACACCAAAACAGAAATCAGCAAGCAGCCCAAGGACGAAGTGGACCCAAAAGCAAGCAAATCCAAGGATTGTCATGCCCAGCACATTCCTACCATGATCATTGGAAGCCCAACCATCATAGGATAGCATAACCAAAAATAAAACATAACTAATATTGTTCAAAATACAATAAAACATAAATAAACCAAAATAACTAAATGCATCAATGAATCAAGTTCTTAAACTATTCATTATTAAGTTTAGTCTCTTATATCATCATTTATAATATATTTAAGGCATTGCATTGTCATTATCTATGCCTTATTTTGAAGCACTTTGATCTGAGAAATTATATATTAATCTAAGCAAATATATTTTTTTCAAGTTGTATGACTTCTTTCTGGGATTTGTTGTTTCTTTTAAATGTTTCGAAATTGATAGTTAAGACTTTCATTTCTGATGCGTGATATTACCATGGACTTAACTTTTTTTTATCCTTGATTTGTGTGGGGCTTTAGTTCCATGCTGCTTTTTTAACGGACACTCAAATGGACTCTTACTGCCGTGTAAACATTTAACTTTATCAAAGCTTATGATTGAGTCTCTTGTGCTCAGGCTTCGTGATTTTGTACGTGTTTTCAAAGTTTCTTACAACCCTTTAGGTTTGGTGTTGGTTCTAGGTGAAGCAATTACATGGCGGTCATCACCAAAGCTAGTTGGGTTAAAGCTTTGAGATGCAGCAACATCCCTTTACCTGTAACGGAAAACCCATTATTTTATTTTATTCAGTTCACCTTTCCCGTTAGCTAGGAGCAGTTTCTTGGGCTTTATATAACATAAGATCGTGAATTTCTAAATTATTCTTATCTCATAGCATTCATGAGGGACTACTCCATTTTCCGTAGAAATCCTTACAATTTTGCTGTCCCGTATTAATCTTTTTGCTGCACCTATGCCATAATTTATTTTTGTGCTGTTATTTTCTGCAACTTTCTACTTATTCTTCAGATACCTAACTTAGTTTTTTCAAAACATGGAATCCTTTTTTTTCAATTCATAAATTTTGCTTATCATGCAAATGGTATACTATTTTATTTTCATGCTTTGTTATTGTTTTCCATTACTTGATTTATCCTAATTATTATGGCCTGTTTTCATATCTTACTTTGATGTTCATTTATGGATATAATTCTGTGCATAATCTTGTTTAGGTTACCGAGGAAGAGGTGTATTTATTTACATCATCATTGCTAGGTTTTTTGGCGGAGTATAACATACGAGTCCCCATAATAAATGCTTCGACAGTTACCAACAGTACTCAGGCAAGTACTGATTGTGCAAAGTATTCCTCTTTCCTCTTAAATTTACAAGCTCTTATAAGCACCATGAATCTTGCTCCTCTTTTTGTCTATTTGCCCTTTTGTTCGGTTTAAGTTTTTTTTTTTTGGGGGTGTAAAGAGAAGTTAGCATCTACAAAATTAGGCTTGGTGTTAGGTGAAAATTCTTCATAGCTGTCATGTATGGACAATTTCATCTATTTTGAGCATCATACTTCATAAGTTTATTTTGGCTGTTGTTCTGACTTGGGCCTCTCGTTGTTGCAATCGTGATTGCATGATGCATGTAGTTTTAAGGACTAGCTTCTGTTATTTCTGCAGTATTTTAACTTGTAATGCCATCTTTTTTCTGTCCATGCAATGATAACAAACAAGGAAACTGAGTTGATCGATTTGATTCATTTTTTTAACCTTGCAATGGAATGTTATTTCCTTATTATTAGTGTAAGAATTATAACTTCTAAACGAGATGATGAGGGCATCAGATTTCGACACGTGTACCATCGCTGGAGACGCCGATCGACGGCCTTGATTCAGAGCCTTTATTTTTTATGCTTTAGTTTATTCATGACTTTTATTTCATGTTTTTCCTTTTGTACCCCTATGAGGGAATTAGTACTTATTGTAGCCCAAGGGCGTTTTCGTCTTTATGCATTTTATGTCTTGATAGCCTATATAAAAGGCTTTGTCATTGTACTTGAGATTATTTTTGGAATGAATGAAAATTGACGTGCTTTGTTCTCTTTGTGAGTGCATGAAGATCTCTTGGTGAGTTCTTCCATTGAGATCTCTTAGTGAGTTCTCTAATTTTCCTTTTTCTTTTAATTGCTTTTCTTAAGTTTCTTCTCACAAGAAAGCTCTATAAAATTCCCATTCCCCTAGCTCTTGCCGCCGGCCTCCCTGGGGTTTTCCCCACCGCCGGCCAAGCTCCCCACCGCCGGCCAAGCTCCCCACCGCCGTCCATCCACCTCGCCGACGACCCCTCCCATACGGTTCATTCCATATCTCCATCAACTTCAAATTAGAGATTTGACATTTCAAATTTTGAATTGTTTCCTAATTTGGAAATCCAAATTAGGAAAGTTTTCATGAGTAAATAAATTTCAAATCAAAATAATTTGGAGTTTTAAATCCCTTGCTACGTCATCAAATCAAGTTTTAAATCCCTTCCCCCTCTCCCCAAATTTCTCCCTCTCTCCCTATGCATGCGCCGGCCTCCCCCCTTGGTGGATTTCATTTAATTACCACATTAAATCCCTTGATCTTAATTTCAAATTCAAATTAGGATCCATTAATTTTCCCTCCTATTTGTATTAAAACTGAAATAATTTCAGTTTAATCCTTTTCCCCCTCTCTTTTCTTCCACCGCCGGCCTTCTCTCTCTCTTCCCCATTAATTCTTCATTAAGGAATTAATTGCCCTCTCATTGGAATTCAGATTTCCCCTCCAAAACTCTCCAAAACTGAAATTACTCTCAGTTTTGTCTTTGTTTTCTAAACCAATCTCTCCTCACCCCACATCCACCGCCGGCCTCTCCATCCCTTCTACAACCCGCCGCCCCCCCTCTCTCCTCCTTGGAGATTTACTTGCAGCGACCACCTCTTCGCCTCTTCAAGGATGCATGGAGGTTCCCGAGTGGAATTTCGGGTTTGAGTACGACAACCGCGAACGAGTGAACATCCTCCGATCTCCCTTCTTCGACGTCGGCTTTGACTTCGACGACACCGTCGAGGACTATTTGGACCGGATTCTACCAGCTCTAGTGGAGTCCATCGACGATCATTTTTCTGTCTACACGTGGATCGTCAAAGGGCGTCGTTTCACACCACCTCCACGACCGGCGCCGTCCTCTCCTTCCCTACGGATCTACGGCATCATCGCCCTCGGAGTGGTTTCATCACTTGTGTGGTTCTTCTTCTCCCAACAAGCCTAGAAGTAGGTAAATGAGTGCAGCCTCAAGGTGAGACAATCGCTTTGTTAACCGCGGGATTCTAGTTGGCTTTTCATTTGCTTTACTTTTATTACCGTTGTTATTTTACTGGTCTTGCTAATTTAGGTGTAAACTCTTGCCTAATCGTAGTTGAATTCTAAGATCTCTGAAAAGTTTCAATTGGGAAAAATATTAAGCTTGCAATTTCACCACTTGAACAATATTTTTATTGAGCTTCTAAATTCAATTCCTGGTTTCACATCACGAGAACTATAGTTTATTTTTTATTTTAGCTTTTTTTACTATTGGGTAGATCTTTCAATTTATTTTCTCCTTATTTACTTCTACAGATTGGTTCATATTAAGATTTAAGTATTTATAGATTTTGTTAAGAGTTGTATTGTTTTGGTTTTGATACGATATTGAGTTTGTTGTATGAGAAAGGGAGAGAACTTGTAGGTAGGAAATGACGGCGCTTCTATAAAAAGGAGAGAAAAATATGTCAAAGATATTTGGTCGATAATCAAAATCATGTAAGTTTAATTTTAAGACCCCACAAGATTATATACTTTATTGGTGATGGCCTGGTGGGCCATTACAATAGCTTTTAGTTTTAGTTTTGTTTGTCTTTGTATTCCATCACATTTGAATACATGAGACTGCTACTTATGGATGAACTGAACTTGATGGCCTTGTAGATTATCCTAAACACTCTATATAATAACTTTTTCTTTCATGATGTTATAAAATTTCTTAAATTTATCTGGCTTGTTAAATTCTAACATGTGTTACTTAACCTGCTAAGAAATATAGCAAGGAACTTGTTTTTTTATTTTCTAAAAGTTATCTAATTGAAATAATATACTGATATGCTGATGCAAGCAAAAAAAATAAAATTAGGGAGACCCCATTTTTTGCAAGCAGATTACAAGACTTAGAAAACCAACAAAATACATGCTAAAATTCAACTTTCATATTATAAAACTCTTACAAACTTATGACAAAAATAAATACCTAAACTTGCTTTTCTTGGATCGAGAAGAAAGATACAATTGGCGTCGAACTTGCGGAGAGAAGAAAGAGGTTAGAAGCCCGAGACGAAGAGAGGACAAGCTCGCAAGCTTTCCTAGAGGGAGAAGAAGAACGGAACAAGCTTGCTAGCTTTTCCAAAGAAGGAAGAAAAACCCTCAGGTTTTTAGATCCAAAAATCAACCATAACACACTCTTTTTGAATACAAAACCTCTAATATATATAGGGGAAATGAGGCAGCCAAACAGCCCAAATACCCCCATTTAAACCTATTAAAATAGGAGAATATGGAAAGCCAAGGTGCTGTCCAAAAATAGCGCCCAAAGAACCACACAGGAAACTGGCAAAGGCAACCAAGGGGGAAGGAACAGACGGCCAGGGGAACTGGGACAACAGGCCAACAACCAGGGAAACCGGAACAAACAGCCAAGGGGGGGAGATGGAACGGGTGGCCACAAGGGGAACCAGAACAAGTAGCTAGGGGACCGAAACAGGCAGCACAAGGGAAACTGGAACAGGTAGCCAGGGACCGGAACAGGCAGCACAAGGGGAATCGGAACAGCAGCCAAGGGAACTGAAAAAGGCAACCAGGGAGGGAAAACCCCCCCCCCCTTCCCTTTTGCCTACATCATAGGCAAAGCTATTTATGAAGATAGTCAATGAGAGGATAGACTCCCTTGTTTTATACTGTACTTTAATCCACATTGTTTTTCTTAGCCTAAATTACAATGAATGCTATTCTTAGATTTTTCTTGCTTGGCGTGGTTAGCTACCCTCTGTTTCCCATACTTTTTTTTGTTATTATTATATATGCTCTGTTTCTCTTACTTTTGTCATGTCTCCATTGATTTTTTGTTCGGGTATTTCAAACTACCCCTGTTTCTTTATTAGGCTTTCCAAAGTTAAATGCCTGATTGAATTGTTGGAGATTTATGTTTTATTGGTTGGTTATTGATTATTTTAAGTTCTTTATTGGTGTACGTTTAATAATTCTTTTATAGTTATAATTAGGTTTTGCTCATTTCCTTTCCTGATTTTTTTAATTTCTTTGAGAACTTGATTCTTAACAGGACATAATGGAGAAAAATGATTCATGTAGCCGACCTCATGTAGTGGGATTAAGACTTGTTGTTGTTGTTGTTTTTGTTTGTATTATGTTTTACATAGCTGCAATATGTTTCGTTTGTTGGGCTATAGTAAAGTACTCAGCATCTATTTTACAGATGATCTGTCTCTTATTTTCTAATGCTTCATTGTACTTTGTTTCAGCGTCTTTTTCAGCATATGAAATGGAAGATGGGTTCTAATGTAAGTCAATTATCTTATATTAGTCAACTTAATTGTTTATTTCTTTTTCCGTTCAATATGGATGCTGTACAAGCCGACTCCAATGTAGCAGAACATATACTTTGTGCTAATATATGTTGTCTACAAATATTCTTAATTCCTGACTTTATGTCCTCCAGTAGAAGTGAAAAAATGTACAGCTAATGCACACATTATGCAATTTTCAATCCATATGCAAGATTGAGCGTCTAATAAGTTCATGAAGCCATCTGTAGAGATTTGTATAAGTTGGCAGCAGCTGCTGTTTTATGTTATATGAACCCTTGATGCTAGCATCATTATCCCAAATATTTGGGTTTTTGAGCATATGAATCTTCATTCTGCATACAATTATGTGCAGTGATGCTGTTGCTGATATTAATTGAAAAAATGGATTTCTATGTTATATATTGTTGTGCTTGAACATTTGTGGTGATACAAAGAGAGATTAACGTCTTTATTTTGTGTAAGAATCCAACACGTTCACTGATCAAAGAGAAATTGGAAGAGATTGATGGGCCTCAAGATTATAGGAAGAATTACTATAACCATCATTGACAGTGAGGCTTCCCACAATTTCATTTCCAACCAGGTTGTGAACAAATTGGTGGTGAAATTAGTGGATACAAGATGTTATGGAGTGATGATGGATATAGGGAAGGTGGAGACGGGCCAGGGGATTTGTAGAGGATTAGTTTTGCCAATATAGGGGTTTAGGTGAGGGAGGATTTTCTCCCATTGGAGTTGGGGAGCATTGATAAATCAATTTGGATTTATGTTGGGTAGGTCAACTATGGAAGCCATACATTGAAATATAGAGAAAATAAAGAGGATCTACATATGATATATATTGATTTAGAAAAAAAGCATATGAGAAAGTTCCAAGAGAAGTGCTATGGAGAGTTCTTGAAAAGAAAAGAGTTAATAATGCTTATATTCAAATCATTAAAGATATATATGCAGGAGCTATTACTTGTGTTCAAACACAAGGTGGTTTGACCAAGTATTTCCCTATTTCGGTTGGGATACATCAAGGATCAGCCTTAAGCCCATATCTTTTTGCTTTAGTCATGGATGTTCTCACTAGTCATTTGCAAGAGGATGTACCTTGGTGTATGCTTTTTGCTGATGATATTCTTCTTGTTGATAAGACTAGAGAGGGAGTTGAAGGTAAACTTGAATTATGGAGGTCAACCTTAGAGTCTAAAGGTTTTCGCTCGAGTAGATCTAAAACGGAATATATGGAGTGTAATTTTAGTAGTAATAGACCTAGTGAGGGGATTGCGATTTTGGGTGATCAAATCATTAATAAGAGTACACATTTTAGATATCTGTGATCTATTGTTCAGAGTGATGGTGAAATAGATGGGGATATTATCAACATAATTCAAGTTGGATGATTGAAGTGAAGGAATGCACCGGGCTTGTTATGTGATAGAAAAGTACCCCTCAAACTTAAGGGAAAATTCTATAAGATGGTAGTGAGGCCTGCAATGCTTTATGGTGCCGAATGTTGGCCATTAAAAGAGAAGCATAATACTAAGTTAAGGTGACAGAGATGAGGATGCTCAGGTGGATGAGTGGCTTAACTCTTAGAGATAGGATACGAAATGAGCATATACGTGAAAAGGTTGGAGTAGCTCTAGTAGAAGATAAGATTAGAGAGAGTCGCCTTAGATGGTTTGTTCATATAAAACGGCGGCCTTCCGATGACCAGGTTAGGAGAGTAGAGGTATTAGATTTGACTTATGTTAAGAAAGGTAGAGGTAGATCTAAAAAGACTTGGTTAGAAAATATTAGGAATGACCTTTCTTTCTTAGATTTAAACGAGAATTTGACTTTTAATAGGACACAATGGAGAAAAAAGATTCATGTAGCCGACCCCACGTAATGGGATAAAGGCTTGATGCTGCTGTTGTTGTTGTTGTTGGTGGTGTTAGGGAGCATTGATGTCATCCTGGAGATGAAGTGACTGCAAACCTTGGAAGACACCATGGTCAACTGGGGGTTTTGACGATGGAACTGGTTGTGGAATGGAGAAGAGTAGTGATAATGGGAGATGTAGGGCTCTCCAAAGCGATGTCATCACTTAAAACCATGGCGAAGAACATAACGTAATTTAGCCTTTTAAGGCTTCATTGTCCTGTTTAATAGAGCCCAGGTAAAACCCAACATTATCACTATTGAACCACATTGAGGTTCTAATGCCTCTATTCGGGTCCCTCTTTCCCCAACCATGCAAGTATTATAACATGTCATTGTCACCCATTACCTATTCCTCATGCTCAACAATTTTTGATCAATTTATCTAATTTGTAATTAAATTCATACATTAATTTAAAATAACAAGTAATACAACACATATACAACATGAAGATGATAGATAAGCCATTGCTTTTCTTTTAAAAATGTTCTCAGTTAGTGGAACATTTATATAATCATCAGATACTTAATTTTAAGTTTGAATTGTTAAAATCTATGCATGGTTGTTTGCACATGAATATTAAGCTGTAAACATTCATTCTATAATATGAGAATTTTCTATTTCTTTTTATGCTTACTTTAGCTCAAATGCAAATATACATGAAAAAGACTAAAGAATTTGCTTCATAAATTAGACGTTTGTGTATCTCACCATCGTGATGAATTGCCTCCTCAATTTGAACACCTTGCAACTATTTACATTGGTAAATCACTTATACAATTCAAATTTCTCAATTGCTTTAATTTTCTATCTATAAATACAAATATTTATCCAAAATAATACTTTTACGTCAAAACTCTCTCTTTTCATATACCACGAAATCCTAAATAACAGATGGGGTATAATTAATTTAGGAACTTACAACCATATTTTAAAATTGAAGTCTACAATAAAAGTTACCTCTATTCTTCTTCTTTTTTTTTTCCTTGAATTTTCTTCCTACCCGATTTCGCTCCTCACCAAAGGCTTGCACTCGACTTTAGCCTCCCAGCCGAACTCAAGCAGAGGAGAAATATCAACCCAAGAGTAGTTAAGGGAAGAAATAGGAGGAATCAGCTGCCGAAGACTAAAGGAATGTTTTTTATTTAATTACCCAGCCAATGCATGTTATTATAAGTGATATTTTCATAAAATTTCTTAAATGCTACAGTAACTTTTAATAATGAACAGCTAAACGAATTTAAAGCTTTGGAAACAAAAAAATTCAAATCAAAATTAATTCCATAACATTCACACTTCTAAAAGTATAGTTCTATATATCAAATTGCTTAAATTGGCGGGTATGAAAATTTCCGGTATTTCCGGTATGAAAACAATGAGATGTTTTTTGATGATTAGCGTGAAAGTTGGTATCTCCGGTATGAAAATTTCAAAATTTACCTGAAAGCTTTAAAATTTAAACTAAAAAATTTGGGTGTTACATTTGGAATTAGCCTATTTGTTCATTTATATTTGTGATTATGCTTATTGATTGTTTAATTAGTAGTTTGTTAAGCGATACTCATTTAATGATGATTTATTTGCTTTTTGATAACTTATTATATGTCATTATATCAATTTTTTTTGTATTGCTAGAAGTATGAAAATAATGAGAATATGGTTAGGTGAATAAATTAAAATTTTAATTTATTTTTTCTTAACAGTTGATAATAAAATATTAAATAAATTTTAAATGGATAAATTAAAAAGATATTAGTTTTTAATTAACATTTGATAATGACAATATTGAATAATTAGATTGGTAGATTAAAAATCTAAGTCTATAATCCATAAATATTGGAAAGAATGCTGGGTGAATTATCATCAATTTTGAAAAGAATAATGAATACATTTATCATCAGTAATAAGAATATTTATTTAAATCATTTGCATCTTATATATTTAAAGATCAAATTCAACTAAATTAACGATTGAATTTGACTCAAGCTTGAAAAAGAAATATAATAAATAAATTTGAATAATATCTTGAAGGTAGAGTTGTGTGTTACCTCGACTTGATTTCAATAAAAAATTAAGTAATGGAACTTGAATAATGTAGTATTTAACTTAACTTGGTTCATTTACAATCATAATTATTGCTTTGGTACGACTGCAGGCTGGTATTAGTGAGATGCAACTGCTTTTAGGAAATCAACCTGGTGTTGAAATCTCAAATAATGGAAAGCTTGCCACATTGGCCAGAAGGCCCCTTTCTCAACCGGGTTTGGTATATTTGCTTAGTCTGCTGCATTAAACCAATTACTGCTTGAATATTGATATTGGTGATAATAATCTGGTGATATCTTACTCACAGGACTCTAACATGAATGAGTTTCAAGGATATGATAAGTATCCATTTGATTTCCCTGTGGAGGGAACACCAAAGTTAAAACATATTCCACCTTTGGCTGTGATGAATGCCAATGGGTTAAATAATGCTGCTCCTGACTTTGGTTACCAATTCATTATGGATCAGCCAAGGGAGTTACAGTCTGCAATGTATAAGTGGGTCTCTATTTAAGCTTACTCTTTCTTCAATTTGATCTTGAGCATTTTAATATTAGGTCATATGCATGTAGCCTGTTTAGGATTCTTTCTGGAGTCTATAAACAAAATTATAGAACTTCTTGCTGTAAAGTAATATTGCACAATATATGCCTCCATTTGTTAAATACTGAATAAAAATATAATAAATGACGGGATGTTGCTTTTGCTATGCAATGCTACTATTTTCCCTTGTGGTAAGTTCTTTGGATCTTTTAATGGTTTTATCAATATTAACTAGTCAGTTACCATTGCTATGTAAATGAGGAAATAATTTTAGGGGTTTTAATTTCAATGCAAGGTGAGTGTAAGATGCCAAGTGTTAGAGTTGTGTGTGTGTGTGTGTGTCTCTCTCTCTCTCTCTCTCTCTCTCTCTCTCTCTCTCTCTATATATAGTGTAGTTGTTAGTGTTAGTCTACTTCTTCATGAGTGCATGCTTTGATTGGAAGACATTGGACTCTATAGGAGAGGTGGAAGGGTGAGAAGATTCCCTTGAAGACCCATTTAGTGATGGGTCATGATTGGATTATATATGTTCTTTCTTAATTATACTTTGGGAGTTTTGATAGACTAATATTTTGTGGTTTTGTACTTCGGGACATGATTTTATTGCATCTATTTTCTTACTTTCCCCTAATTTTAATTGTCATTTAGATGTTTTTATTGTATGATAGAATCTTACTATTTTTTACTTGCTAAAACCCTTAAATTCTCATTTACGCAATTCTTTGTCAGTGATGCTTACGCCTCACACCGCCTCGAGGCTTACGCCTCGCCTCACGGACGAAAAACGCCTCGAGGCTTATTTACGCAATTTTAAACCTTGGTTAAGGCGGAATATTGAGCATCTTGGAAGCTCATCTTTATTGTGTATAAATTTTTATTTCTATTACAATCTTTAATTTAGTACCAGTTGCTCTAGTTGATATTGGGAAAAGTGGTGACAAGTAATTGTGCTAGGAGAGGTGAAGATGAAGACGATGGGCCGCAAGGGAGGCCGAGCCGAGATGATAGGTTGTAGGAAAAGGCAGTTAGGTTGTGATGAGCTTACTTGTGCAAATCAGGAGAAGTAGAGGCAATGGGTTAGTTGAGTAGCTCTCGAGCATAATACAGATTTTGTTTATTATGTTGATGAAAAGAATTAAACAATTGAAATACTTATTATACTCTCGTTAAAAATAATTTTAATTAAACCAATATAAAAAAATTAAAACTTAAATATTTTGAAACGAAAAAATTAAACTCAAGTAATTCGTTATAATGGAATCAAAATAAGAAAATGTTAAACAAAATTATTTTTTTCAAAAAATCATCTTGCTCCATGATTTGTGCGATCTCAATCTATCCTAATTGTACGTGAAGTTGACTACTATACATGAGGAAATAAGATATGCAAAATATCAGATTCTATAAAAAATTTAAGAGAATGTGTATTCTAAACATACCCTCATTTTTCAATCCCATTAGTTTACTTTTATTTTAATTTCCATCTCTTTTAACTGTGTTTTCTTTGTTCTTATTTAATGGGTTGAGGAACTAAATTATAACTTTTTATGGTTTGGGCTAAAGTAGCTGCCCTCAAATAGTTGGGGGACTATTCTGATCATTTTCTTAAAAAAAAAACACAGTTAGATGCCAGTAAGGTGGAAACCAACAAACAAATTTTATTTTTGGATTACACAAAAGATGTTGTTTCTAGGTACATTCTATGATATTATTCATGTGAAAGGACTGCTATTTGTGATGCATTCATGCTGTATTAACAATCAAGTACGATACAAACTCATTGGCTTTCTCTAGAGAAAGGTTATTAGATTGTATTTTGATAAATTTAGGTGGTTTGCATATATGTGATTAAGGCTCTGTTTGGCATTGTTGCGGAGTGTGTATTGCACTGCGCTGTGCTATGCTGGAGTTGTGAAATGCTGTTGATAACTTTTTGGTAAGATTATTGTCCGAAGTATTGGTGTTGGAATTATTTAGTAAAAATATTATTGTGGCATTGATATGTGCAACTAAATGATTTAAATAAATATCATTGCAAACTTAATAGTATTATAATACGATAAACACTTGAAACAATGAGTAGATAGGAGAGTAAAAAATGAGAGATTTTATGATCAAATTTTATTAACTTGTTTTATGAAAAAAATGATATAGAAGTTGTATATAAACAGGTGCAGAATAATTATCTTAAAAAAAATAGAAACAGCCTTTAATTATGGAATCTATAATTCACTATGCTAGAAAAATGGAATGTTGTTGTCTATGGATTTTTGCATTCTTGTTGATGGAAAATTCTTGTCAATGGATTGCTAGATTCTTATAGACAGAAAATTGTTGTCTATGGATTTTGGATTGTTGTAGATGGACAATTGTTGTCAATGAATTGTTATAAATGGAAAGGGTCAAGCGACAAATTTTTGATTATTTTAAGACCCCTTAAACTTGGTTGTACATGTTAATCAGGCCTACTTTGTTGATTAGATTATCATAACTTATTATGGGTAAATCCTTGGTAAGGATGTCTATAATTTGTGAGTTTGTTGGAACATAATTTAATTGAATCCATCTTTTTCAATTTCTTTGAGATGAAATATTTGTTTATCGCACTATGTTTAGTCTCACGATGGATCAATTTTTTTTTTTGTATTTATGGCCTCCTGATTTTCATAGTACAATTTTAGAGATTTTTATACTTGATAGTTTAATTCTTCTAGCTAGCAATTTATTTTAACTAAATTCCTTCTCAAATACGAAATGTTGTTGCTATATATTTAACTTCAACATTGCTTTTTGTGACCACAAAATATTTCTTACTACATGTAACTACTTTTGCCCATGCCATGCATAAGTACAATATCTAGAGGTGGGTCCTTGGCCTAATATCTCTCTAGCCTTATTTGCAAAAAAAAATTATTTCCTTATTATATGAATTTTTATATAGCAAGCCTTTTCTCGGTGGCATCTTAAGGTACCTTAGAATGTGGTTAACAACTTCCATTTGGCCTTCAATAGGGTTGTTCATGTATTGGCTTACAACACTGATGGGGAACCCAACATCAGGACAAATGACATAAGAATGTAGTTTGCATGCAAGGAATTGTTACTTACCTTATTGACGGCCATGGTATTAGTGGTCATCCCAATTTTCTTTGTTGGGGGTCAAGTGGAATTGATGCAGGATTACATCCAATTATTCCTGTTTCTTGAAGTAGATCAAGAATATGTTTCATTTGGGAAATACTAATATCTTGTTTTTATCATGCCACTTCTATACCAATAGATCATTTTCAATTTTTCAAGTTTTTAGTCTTAAATTCTTTTCCCAAAAACTTCTTTAGCACTTCTTCGAAGTCTCCTGTCAATATAATATCATTTATGTACATCATCATTTTTTTTTTCTTAATGTGAGCATTTGATAAAGAGGTTGTGACCAGCTTGACACTTAATATACTCACATTTTTCAATAAATTTGGAGAATATGCCGAAGTAGAAATGTGGGGATTATGTGATGCCATATAGAGCATAAGTTTGCATACCTTTAGTGTTTTTCTGGTTTTTCAATCTAGCTGGGATTGTGGAGATCTATATTATCTATGAATTTATTTTTACTTCATAAGTCCTTGAACAATGATCATGTTTTTTTATTTTTCCCTTTTTCATTGGTTCGGCTGGAGGAAATTTGGGGCTGTTTGACTGTCTCTTTTCATCTATATATATATATATATAGTTTTTCTGGTTTTTCAATCTAGCTGGGATTGTGGAGATCTATATTATCTATGAATTTATTTTTACTTCATAAGTCCTTGAACAATGATCATGTTTTTTTATTTTTCCCTTTTTCATTGGTTCGGCTGGAGGAAATTTGGGGCTGTTTGACTGTCTCTTTTCATCTATATATATATATATATATATATATATATATATATATTTTTGGGTTTCTTATCTCTTTCTTCTCTCCGCAAGTGAGCACCCCATCTGTATCTTTCTTCTCAATGATTGCAAGCAAGTTTAGGAGTTTTATTTCATAAGTTTGTAAGCGTCATCTTTATGTTATAAAGTGTATTTTGTTTTGTTTAAGTGTAGCATTTTGTGTATTTTCTTATTCTCAAAGAAAGTCCTAATTTGTTTGTAATTTTGGCAATTTTTTGAGCAAATGCAATTATGTGACGAGCGATTCGAGTCTAAGAAGCGTTCACTTCTAGCTGAATTTGAACGAGAAAGGGAAGCCATCAAAAGAAAGTATGATATTCTAATCCAAGAATCTGAAATGCCGGATCTCTAAAAGTTTGAAGACATCTCATCGGGAGATAAGTAATTTCAACCAGAGGAGAATTGATGTAGGCAAGGGGGTTCAAAATAAGTTGAGTTGATATTTTTATAAGCTTCTACTTGGTTTTAGCTCATTATTTGGAGGATTGATGTTTTAGCTCATTATTTGGAGGATTTATTGTACTTGAAAGCTCATTATGTGGAGTTTGGAATCTTGCCTCTTCCCCTTCTTTGTGTTTCCTCGGTTTCTTCATGTGCTGCCTTTTCGGATTGCTCCCTCGTTGCTTTCCCGTGGCTTCCTCTACTCTGTTTATATGTTGGCTTTTCGGTTTCCTCCCTGGCTGTTATCCCGTGGCTTCCTCTACCCGGTTCCTGTGTTGCCTTTTCGAATTGCTCCCTGGCTGCTTTCCCGTGGCTGCCTCTACCCGGCTCTGTGCGACCTTTTTGGCTGCTTCCCTGGCTGTTTTATCCGGTTCTTGTGCTGTCTTTTGGGCTGATGTTTGGAATTAATTTTGGCTGTTTGGGAGTTGTTTTTGGGCTATTTCTGGATAGCTGTTGGCCTTCCAAATTCCCCTATTTTAATTAGCTTAATTAATGGTTTTATGGTGGCTGTTTGGCTACCCCTTTTTCCCTATAAATATGTGATGTTTTAGAGTTTTTAAAGAATGTTATGATGTGATTTTTAGAGCCTAAACCTGCGGGTTTCGTTGTGGAAAAGCTTGAGAGCTTGTTCCATTCCTCTCTTCTTCTAGGAAAGCTTGCAAGCTTCTCCTCCCTTTCGTCTCGGCTTCTTATCTCCTTCTTCTCTCCGCAGGTGACCACTCCACTTGCATCCTTCTTCTTGACAATTGGCAAGCAACTTTAGGTGTTTTTTATTTCATATGTTTGTAAGCGTCAAAAGTTATAAGTGTCGTTTTATAATATTAAAGTTTGTTGTTTGTCGTATAAGTCGTATTTTGATCAAAAGGAATTCCCTAAACAATCCCTACATTCAATTTCCCTCCTAAAATCCATTAAAAAACCTTTCTATTCGGCCCTGTTTGATCCAGGCGGGTATGCGGCTGAACGGGAGGCGGAAGTTCCGCCTCGTTGTGGCTGGGCCGGTCCCTCGTGGACCGGCTGGACCGGTCCCCTGGACCGGTCTAACACATTCTCTCGGGCTTTTGACCACCCCATATGCATCTTTCTTCTCAATGATTGCAAGCAAGTTTAGGAGTTTTATTTCATAAGTTTGTAAGCGTTATCTTTATGTTATAAAGTGGTATTTTGTTTTGTTTAAGTGTGGCATTTTGTGTATTTTCTTATTCTCAAAGAAAGTCCTAATTTGTTTGTAATTTTGGCAATCTTTTGATTGCATCAGTGAGGCAATAGTAGGTTGAATGAGGGGTAATGAGGAATTTTCATTGCCCAGGTTTTCAATGAGAGAATGGTGGATGAAAAATAAGTTTCCAATTTGGAATTCTTATTCTTGGATTTCCCTCCCCTTGAATTTTGCATAGGTTGGAGTCTTGACAAGCTGTGAAGAAGTTTGTGGTTTTGGTGAGGCTTTAGTAGTTCAATGTTCTGATAATGTGAAAGTAAAAAATTTGGAATTCTTATTCTTGAATTCCTCCCCTTGAATTTCTGTTTTGGGTAGTACGTTCACAAAGGGTTTCAACCATAGAATTTTTCAAGTGTAAGAGAAAGCAAAAAATTTGACTGTGGATCATGGTGTTGGATTGTTTAAAAATTTGCGTTGCCTTAAAATTTTCTTTTATTAAGAAAACCACAGTGAAATAGGTATGATTGTCAATAAAAGAAATATATAATTTAGCTTTAAAGATATTGTTTGACTCTAGATGATCATCATACATTACTTTGGTTAAATACAAAAATTTTGGAGACTTTGTAGGTTTAATTGGAATAAGAGAAATGTGTTTTTAGTCGGATGACAAATTTCAGACTGAGAGTCCTTAGAATTTTTGTTGATGAAGAAAAAAGGAATTAAATTTTCAAGGTAAGAAAAGTTTGGGTTTCCTAGCCAATAATGTCAAAGGCATACGTTACTATTATTATTATTTGAAGAGCGTTCAAAATTTAAAATGAGATTTTTGTGAATACATAACCCTTTGTGTAAGCTACTAAGCTTGTACTTTACTCGAGAGATTATTCCTTATAAGGTATTCTCGAACACTTCCCCAAACTGTTGTTTTCCCTCTCTATGTTTTTGTCTTAAAAGTGATAAATATTAGATAAGAAATTAGAAATGCAATTTTTATCTCGAGTGAGTTTGTTGATTGATAGTTGAAATTTAGGTTAGACGCTAGAAGAAGAGTCAAGCAGAAGGTCTTTTGAGCGAATGATATAACCTGTTTTGAACAATTTTCATAGTCCATCTATAATCCGGATATTATATTTTTCATGTCATGGGCTATAATTGTGGAAAACATCTTTATCTCCCTTCATATTATCATACTCTCTTGAGTCTACCAAGTAGTATTTTTTTTTTCTTCTTTGCAATGTTGACATGTGAGATGTTGCCTTTTTGAGCAGCCAAGCTCGTTATGATAATGTTATGAAATAAGCTTATTTTGAGAGAATGATTTGTTGTCTTTGGTTTGTTGTTCAAATGGATAAAATAGGTAGGAGAGTTCTTTTGGATCTAGATTTTTCTCTTCTAAGTTGATTTCCAGCATTGGATTTGTTGGCTTCTTGATCGCAGGCTTCTTCATTGCAGCTGCCATTGTATTCTTTCTAGGAGGATCCTATGCATGTTTTTGCCATTCTTATTGGATGAAGACTAACTTTCAGTATTGGTGAAGGACCTGTTAGATTGGAGGAGAGTCTTCATGTTGAACGATCCATTGATCTCATTGGAGTTGAGCCTTAACGGCTTTAATACAATCTAAAAAGTTAGAATGAAAAGTGAAGAGAATAAAAATTGGGATATTTGACTGAATTTTATTATCGTCTTGTATAAAAAAAAAAGATAATAAGCTACATATAATTAGATGCAGATATAACTATCTCGGAAAGTAATAAATATGAAAATCAGTTTTTAATTTTGGAATGTAGAATTAACAACAAAACACAAATGCAATGCTGATGTCTATATGTTGCTGGATTGCTATAGATGAAAAGCTATTATATATGAATTGCTCTATTGTTATAGATAGAATGTTATTGTCTATGTATTGTTGGATTGTTGCAGCTGGAAAGCTACTTTAAGGATGGATTGGTGCCGATCATAGATTTAGATTATTTTAGCATAATTTAATATTAAATAATATATAACTAATTAAAATAATGAGTTTATTTATTAAATAAAATAACTAAATTTTGAGAAAGGGCTTTTCTAGGAAGACATCTATACCACTGTTTTGGTTTGGCCTGTTGAATTTTTTCTCACAATAGTTACACAGCAACTTAAAACTGTTTTTCTGTTCAGGAAAGCAGAAGCAGGGATCAAAAAGCATTACCAAATAGACCCTTAACAAAATAGTTGGGATAAGCTCTTTGATAATGATAATACATTCTTTCTCTTTCATTTGGCTCAACAGTTTAGAATTTTTATTTTTAAGTCCTTCAGATTAAAGATTCTCTTAATCATTTCCAATTGCATTTGTTCCAATCTACAATGAATGAAATAATATGCTAAATTTCACTTCTTTCAATCCTTCCAATTTTAGTAGTACAAATGCAATGATTTTAGTTTCCTTTACATATAATTTAGAGATTTACTCATGAACACTATCAACCAGGGAAGTTGGAGGCGCTGCTACTCCCAATGTTCTTGAAAACAATGCTGTTGAGGCTGCACATAGAGGAGAGACCGTTGATCCGAATTTCTATATACCCTCCCCACTTGAGACACAAGCTTCTCCTTTCACAGAAGGTAGTTAAGCTGCTGTCAGGGAAAAATAGATATTGTGCTTTGATTGATTAAGCTAACATTTTTCAGTAGGTGAGGTCTCTTTACCTGGTATAGATGTATTTCAAATTATCGGTGAGGCTAAACCAGGTTGCACTTTAAGAGCATGTGGCTACCCCACTAATGGGACCTATCTTTGTATCTTTCAGGTTGTTAACCCGTAATTTTTTATTTTTATAACTATAATCATTGAACTTTTAAGCTTGGTTTTCCAAGCTAGTTTGTTTTGCGGAACTTATGAAGTAGATGATTGATATCACATTTGGTTTCTAGTGGGTTCGTCATCTTGAAAATGGCACTAGGCAATCAATTGAAGGTGAGCCACTGTCTATTTTTGAAGAACTATTCTGCATACCATTAACTTGTTAATGTCATGCTTTTTATAAAAAAATGGTTACCCATGTGGTTCTTTCTTAATCTAGGAGCAACTGTTCCTGATTATGTTGTTACTGCTGATGATGTTGACACTTATCTCGCCGTGGATTGTATCCCAATGGATGAGAGTGGTCGCCAGGTTTGCTACTAACTACAACACTCCTATTATGATTGTGCGTTATTGTTGTCATGCACAACCAAACTTACTGAAGCAAACATCTTGACCATTTTAAGGCGATTTTAACTGTAAACTGCTTGTTATTTGCAGTTGTTGGTGGTTCATTCCCTTATAGTCGTCTTGTTATCATGCAAAATGTCTATATTTAAAAATAATATAGGGGTGAAGCATCAATTATATGCGGAGATGGCATTAATACTTTAATTGGAATGTTTGGAAAAGAAAAAAAATGAAGAGCACGTGCATAGAAGGCCGTCAAATTGATTTTGTTATATATTTATCATCAAAGCCTATTCCTAACAAGAACTATTAACGGTAAATTATTCAAAAATTAGGTTGCATATTGTTGGAGTTGTAGCCAGTGGGCATGATGAATTCCTACCTAAAAGGGTGTTGCCAGAAAGTTCTAGTTAATTACCTTTACAGTATGTCATAAATCACTTTCCCATATTCAAATAGATACTAGTATAATTAACCATGCAACTACTCATCCTCACAGTGCCATCATTTCATAATTATCCTCATCATACATACAACATGCATATTTATGCAGTTTAAAGGAATCATTTTCAAAGATTCATAATGTTGTTTAAACAATCATTTGTTCTTCCATAAATAATCTTTCTTTTCCCAAATATTTGGGTTGAAATAGCTCATGGGTTTTATTTGAGTTTGGTTCTTTTTAATCTATTTTTCATTTAGATATTTCACCTTTTTGAGTTGAGGATTTATCAATTTCCCTTATATCCATCAATCTAAGTAGGAGTTAATAAACCATGATATACTTTATTATTTCTTAATTCAAACTATCATCCCATCTTAAATGTAAGCATTTAAAGGAAATATTATTTAATTAGAAATAAAATATTCTAAAATAATATTTAATATATTTTTCCAAATTTAAATCATTTATTAATCATCTTAATTTTCTCATGATAATTATTTCTTAATCCGACCTATTTTTCTTTGATATCACTTTTGGTGGAATTTTGTCATTCTTAACGGACAAGAATATTTTATGATCAAGCTTGACATAGAAAATAATATAATATCCCGAAAGTTAAAAATATTATTTCACAATAGACTTGATAACAAAATTCATATATATTTTTTTTATTTTAGCAGAGATTTTCCCCTACTCAATAATATAATATCCCGAAGCATATATTTTATTCTTGGGTATTGGTTTCCCATAGGGGCAAACCCTTATGGTTAGTTGCATCATAAGTATTTATCCCCTAGGAAAATTTTTGATTAAAATAATGATTTGTATTGTTTCATCAAAATATTAGCTAACAATTTTAGAGGGAAATGAATCAACCTAAAATCAATTTTGGAATGGAAGTCAAATGATGAAGTGGTGGAAGTACTTGATTCTGGGAAACTCATAGTCATTCAAACTATCTTAGATTGGGCTTTACATTTTTTAAATTAGATTTAGGCTGAAGTTGCTTAATTTGATTCAGAAGAATAAGGCTTACATTCCAACAACACGGGTTGGAGTGAATGCCCAGGAAGGTGAAGGCTTACGATGTAACTAAAAAGAACATTGGTCTCGGACCCTAGACCTAAGGTAAGAACCACCGATAGATAGTAACTCCGATTTACATCTAGCAAACCATAAAGGACTTACAAATTGTAACCTTACTTGGAGCTAAGTCAGCCCGACTTTGGACTTATGAGCCTAGAAAGGACTGTAATCTACCTAAAGACTTTTAAAATCATGAAATCCAATCTCAATGCATATGCAAGATAGGAAAGACTCTTTTTAACTAAGAAGATGGAACTTATAGCTTGGCCATTTAAACCATGTTGAGTAAAAAAAAGAAAAAAATTTGAGAAACTTAACAAAGCAACATACCCGTCAGCCCGATCGGCGCCACCTCACGTGATTTGCCCAAACGATGTAATTATTTGCTCAAACCACTCTCTCATTTCCTCAAAACTGCATACAGGAGCAGTTGGAGCATTCATTCGATTCATTCACATAGAAAAGTCAAAGCGAAGCGTTCCCTTTGATTCTTGGTTTTGTTCTCTCGTGCGATCCGACCTTGCATCGTTTGCTTCGTTCGCGAACACCCATGCCTGGCCCGATTACCTCACGCCAGCCCGCCTCCTTCCATTATGAACCCGACAAACACCACATCGACCCGCCTCCTGCACTTAGTCGCATGTAGAAACAAAGGTTCACCATCGTTCAGTCAAACGCAACTCGCCTCTGTGATCCGATCATATCCTGTGATTCGATCCTAAGTCCAGACTCCTGCTTGTTTCAGTCTGATCGAAGCTACCTAGTCAGTCGATCCCTGCGCACGACCCCCTTGTTCGACTTGTGCCCTCGTCACTTGTGCAATCAGACTCTTGCAATAGCTCTCTTGCATGACTTCTTTATCTCCTTACACAACCAGGTCCGATTGAACCAGCCTGCGCAGATCCCACAGCCAGGCCCCTCCGCTTTTGCCTCCTAAACGAACACCCCCTTCACTTCTACGATGAACACGGCATTATAATTTTTCCGCGCCGTACCCGTATCATGTATTTTTTAAGAATTGACGTATCCCGTATCCGTATCGTGTCGTATCCGTGTTGCCGTATCCGTATCGGTGCAACATAGGTGTGTTGCTTTGTTAAGCTGTTCGAATTTTTTTTTTTTCTTTTTTTACTCAACAGCTCAGCCAAAAGAAAAAGGACATTTGTCCCCTCAATTTGCCTATGTCACAGGTAGGTAATGCCAAAGTTGAAGCCAATTGTCCCCGTCATAGGTGTTCAATCCAATGGCTGAGATCCAGTCTTGCTATCCCTAGAGGGTTTTAAGTTTTGTAGGCAACAATAAGCATAATAAGGCCTGAAAAGAAGTGTAGGCACCCGTTGTCCTTGCTCTGCTCTAACCATTGGATGCCATGTCTTGATTTGTGAAGGTTTAGAGTGATATTTAGAACCTGGGAAAACTTAAGGCTAAACTAAACAAGTTGATTTGAGTTTGATCAACTTTAATTGAGTTTAAAATTGAGCATCTTGAACTGGAATGGACCAAATGAATTGATTTGAACTCAATTTTGTTCGATTTGAGTCGATTTGGGTTCAATTGGAATTAATTTTAGTCCGATATTATTTCGACGCGGTTCGATTGAGTTTAGAACTCGATCGAACCTAATTGGGTTCAAATCGGCTCTATTGGTGATGAGTCGACAGAAAAATGTGTCAACAATCAGTCTTATCATGACCTAACCTAAAAGCTTGGAATATCAAAGCAAGAATAGATGGTCGAACTGAAATTCTTAAACATTTCACATATCTCACAAAAAACATCTTATCCACCTAGAACAATTAAATCATAAACTTTTATTTATAAAATGTTTCATAAAGTACAATATTTCTTTCATTTTTCTTACTATGGAAGATAAATTTTCCAATGCACGGACAAATACATATGATTGTTACAATAAATACTTGGGATGTTATCCTTTTGTTGTACATCAGTTCTCTTTTTTCACCCAATAAGATTAAATGAAATTTCCCTGAAAAGAATTATCAACTAGTGGGTGAGGTAAACAACTTAATGGCTTATTATATTTCTAAATAATAGTAATTCAAATACTAGAAAATATTATTTTTGTAGGTCTTTATACATATTTCATTGAATATTTCTTTATCAAGAATAGAATGAAAATGCATTTGTGGCTTTCATGGTAGTGGAATAATAAAATTATTAGCATTTTTTATCATTTTAATATTTTAACTTATATTATTTTATATTCCATCGATTACAAGAGCACCATTTGAATTGTATCATTAAAAGCACATCATCTCGTAACATTTTCAACCTAACCCTTGAAAGTAGGTAATTTTTTTCCTTTTCTTTATGCTTAGGTATGTAGCATCTTCAACTAGTACTTTAAAAGGATGAAATCCATCATTCAATGTAAACATCCATTCATTTTTATAGTATATTCTTTGCATTCGTCATGCATTTGATTCGAGCTTTTTTGTTTGTGTTCAAGCTTAGTTTGTTTAAATTAATGAGTGTTCATGTTTGGTTCATATTCGGTTTATTTCGTGCTTATCGATATTTAAATGAACGAGCTTTATCGAGCTATAAACGAGCTCTACTTCTAGATGTACATTAACTGATGTAGGCAAGGGGAGGGGTCAAAACAAGTTGAGTTTTTCTTTTGGTGAGTTTTAATATCCTCTACTAAATGTCAGCTCATTAATATTTAGTAGAGTGTTTTAAGCTCATAAATTGAAGATTAATTAGATTAATCCCCTCCTCCTTGTGGCTCTTAGGTTTCTTCCCTTGTGTCTTTTCTCCTTCCCCCTCTTCTTTCTCTTCATTAACTTGACCTTTCATCTCCCTATTGTCACTTGGGCTGTTTTGGTTCCCTAATGGCTTTAACCCTTTGATTTGCTCTTGAAATTATTATCCCATGGTCCCCTTTTTACCGAGAATTAATATGGCTGCTGGAACCCAAGAAAAGTCTGCTGGTTTTCTATGCTTGGTTGCTGAAACCGTGGCCTTCCTCATTGAATTTTGATGTGAATTAATCCCCTCCTTTACCGAGAATTAATCCCCTGCTTTACCCGTGAAATGCCTCCTGGTTTCCTGTGCTGAAGCTGTGGTTTTGACTCTGTATTTGGTTGGAACCGTGGCCTTTTCCATTCCCTGCTTTACCCGTGAAATGCCCCCTGGTTTCCTGTGCTGAAACCGTGGCATTAGGCTCTGTTTTTGGCTGGTTCCGTGGCCTTGTTCTGCTTGGAAATGACTGTGACTCTTGGGTATCATGCAAGGTGACTTTTGGCTTTTCATTTATATTATTTTTATATGGGACTATGAAGAGTTTTTGGGACTGTTTTTGGACAGTTTTTGGGCTGTATTTTGGACAGAATTTGGACAGTTTATGGGGACTGATTTGGTGGCTGTTTGTGGGGAATTCCAAGAGTCTTTCCATGATTTTCTGTGC